GGGGTGGGGGCTTAGGTCCCTGAAAGGGGCCACACACTGGTCAAGTTTCACAGGATTCTGCTGAAATCCAACCAGTGTATGGCCAGGTTTAGAGCTAATTATATAGATCCTAATGTATTTTATTAGTGCAAATTGTATCCTAAAATCCCAATTTGAAACGTTCTATCATCAGGAGAGATCAAGAAACAAAGAAAAAGGAGATGGAAACTATTTTGCAGAGGCTTGAGCAATCAGAAGAGATGAACCGCCAATTAAGGGAGCGTACAGGGGACATACGACGTAGTTTACGTGACCTGGAACTGACGCAGGAAATGTACGACGACCTAAAAGCTCTACCAGAGGAACAGTTATCTATTCCTGAATATGTATCTGTGAGTGTTTATGTCAAGCATGTGTCTAAATTCTTAATTAATCTGGATATTATTTCTTTAAAGTACACAGTTTGTTTTATAGTAGACATTATGCTGCTAAGGAATTGCATTAAGAAAAGTGGGTACTGTGCTTGATTCTCATTGACAAGCATTGCTGTCTCTTCGAATGCAAAGTTTAGAGGAATTTCCACTTTTCACAAGCAAATGAAAACTTTAGTTCATGGTACCAAGTCTGACTAGGTTGGTTTCTTGACCTGAATCTTCCATCAGTCAGCCCCAGGCACCCACTCAAATGGATGGTTTCCCCATAATGCAGCTTGTGCTTGGACACCAGTGAGGAAAATTGGTTTCCTGAATTGCAAAGTCTTGCTTTGAAAGAAGTCAACAGCTTCATTAGCAAACTAAAGTCGGCTTTCCTCTTTTTTTCTTCAGTAGATTGGCAAAACCTAAGACCTTCCCTTGTCCGCACCCATTATTAGGGATATACTGATACTAGTATCGGTATTGGTGCCGATACCGAGTACTTGTGCCCAAATGCTTCGATACCTTTTCCGATACTAGAACTTCCAGTGAGAGGGAGATTTCCTCTGACCGGCAGTGCCGCGAGGTAAGATAGAGCCGGGAAGCTGGCTCCATCCTGTTTGGCCGGCTCGATGCTGATTGGCCGGGAAGCCGGCTTCCCAGCCAATCAGTGTCCAGCCGGCCAAACAAATCTGATACTGTAGCGAAACGACCCCAAACCCTGCTTAGATCCTAAGCATTCTTTAACGTACCAGTCCCTCGGCCAGATCTGCCATCTCCTGTGTGCACACTGCACAGCGCTCACGTAATCGGCGCTCAGCCTGCTACTGCGCATGCACAGGATTTCTGAGTGAGAGCGCTGGGCAGTCTGCGCAGTAGCAGGCTGAGGGCCGATCACGTGGGCGCTGTACACAGGAGACGTGGGGAGATCTTGGAGTGTGGTGTCTGCCCACTTGGAGAGCGCTGGCCGTGGGACTGGTACCTTAATGAATGTGGCTAAGGATCCATGTAAGGGGAATTAGGTGATCAGTCGTGTCACCATATTGTCAGATCTGTTTGGCCGGCCTCGATGCCGATTGGCTGGGAGGCCGGCTTCCCGTCCAATCAGCATCCAGCCGGCGAAACAGAATGGAGTCGGCTTTCCGGCCAATCAAGAAGCCTTCCTGGCTTCCTGATTGGCTAGGAAGCCGGCTCTGAAGTACCGGTATCGGTACTCGGTATCGATGAGTACCGAAATATAAGTATCGGTATCCGTGCACGATACCGAAAAACCGGTATCGGTGCATCCCTAATTATTATCATTATTAAGACTGCAACCTTTCTACGGTTTTCCCCATTTGCCTACAGAACTGCTTTAAATATCAAAGCAAACTGTGGCAGTAATCCTCATCCTATAGTTATATAAAATTCATGCTTACATAAAAATAAGTGTTGATGAATTTACTTATATAATCTAGCACAGTATGACTTTTTAACCTCTTGTAAAATGGCCTGGATGGGAAGGGGGTTTAACACCGCGGATGTCAACTGGTTAAAGTCCTGCTAGTATATAGTGAACTGCAAAATAGTTACAAAGCAGGTGAACCACTGAGCTAATTACTCCAATAAATGACCACGAGGGGGAGCTCACACTCCACTGATTTTACTGATACTGATGGTGGGAAGCTCGCGTGTTGTTATGCAGGTATAAGATGATCTAATATCTTGTGTAAAAACAAAATCACCACTTGTGAACCAGCCTGAAAACATCCATATTCAAAGAGTATGCATGCTTTTTTTTTTTTTTTTAAATTTATAATGAACTGTATAGTTAGGCACCTTTTGAAAACAGCACCTCTAATTTAGTAATAGATCTAATACTTAAAGTAAGATACTTTGGGAAATATGCACTATACTAGTTTCTCTGATAATGAAAGTTTGTTTAAAAAGGTTCCGTTTTTACCTTTTATAGCCTGGTAACATTGCATAGCACATAAGTCAGCGGAGAATCGAATGTAACTGATTCACATTCAGAATATCAGAACACACAACGGCAAACCCTTTAGTCATCTTGCATTCTTCCCAAAACAATCCATGTATCTTGAAGGGAACTTTACAAAGTAATTTGTGTTGGTCTAAAAAGCAGATAAACTGGTTGTAAGAATGACAACTGAAATGTCTGATGCAAGTGTACAATAGGGTATCGGTGAATACTTATTTCATTTTAAAAAGTAATAATAACCTGTATTTGTTTGTGGCGATAAGCGACCGATTAAAGGACAGTTTTTTGTTTTTTAAATAATTTTTTAACAATCTACTGCCCAAGCTTTGAAATATGTAACCCTTTATTAAAGGAGACTTATGAGGCGAGTGATTTTCACTCAGCCTCATAATCTGAGCTGACCTGTGACAATGAAACTGTCACAGGTCGGCTCAGTAGATCAGGAAGTGAGAAAGCATATACCGTCGCTTGCTCACTTCTCGATCTATCCTTGCAGAGAGCCGTGACTGTCACTCACGGCTCCCTGCAGGGATTCCCCCCCCCTCTCCTGTCCGATCCTCCAGCGCTGACTGGCGAAACGGACGGGGGAGGGGGCGGGCACAGCTGGCTCTGCCTCTGGATAGGCAGAGCCAGCTGTCAATCCCGCAGCTGGGTGGATCCAGACAGTATTGTCGGGATCCGTCCCGGCTGCGGCGTCTCAGTATACATCTCGCCGTATAGTGAGCTTTGGGTCACAGGAGAACGCTAGTTTGTGTTCTCCCGTGACCCTTAGGAGAACTATGGGGAAAAGCCCTGACCCCATAGTTCTCCTTTAAGGCAGACCTGTCATCACATTTAGTTTACGACTGATAATGGAGATCTGCCAGCACAGGAGGGACAGGGTTAATTATGGCAAACTCACCCCCCCCCTCCTTAACATTACATTAAAGGGGAATGCTTCCATTTTAAATATAAAGTAGGTATTATCACACCTGGGATGCAAAAGTAGAAATATACTTTAAGTACAAAGCCTTGGAATACATTCCATTGTTGGGCATAAAAAAGATAAGAGGGTCTATTGGGAAGATCTAGTAAGTTGATTGCAAATTCTGAACTCCACCCCATTTGTAAGTGCAGCTGAGCCTCATGGTGGGAGATAAACTATAGGATGCATACTTTATCCTCAGAAAGAAAATGATCAGGTGATAGTTTTCTACATCAGTGTTTTCTTCTTCAGTTCTTATAAGGATAAGTGTACTTAACGCACATGTGGGTTGCCTTTTAAACCTTATAGAAGAACTCTGGGTATATGAAATCTTAACCCTTGCAGTAGGGCTACCCCCGCACTGCAAGGTTAGGTGCTCATTTTGTCTAGAGAACTAAAATAACAAAGATATACTCACCCAAATCTCAGACCCAGCTGGTTGCTAGACTGGTCCCTGTAGCCTCTTCTCCCCCTTCTGCTCCGGTGGTTTAAGGTCCCGTGAAGTCATCACATCCAGTATAGTGTATTGGATGTGAGGACACCAAGGGGAATTTCAACTCTGGAGTTGAGGGGGAGCAAGGCTGCGGAGAATGGTCTAGCAACCAGCCTGGAGCAGACATTTGAGTGAGTATATCTTTGTTTTTTTAGAACCTAGACAAAAACGAGCACTTAACCCTTGCAGTGCACGGGTTGCCCCAAGGCACGAGTTAAGTTGTCATATGCCCGGAGTTCATCTTTAATTTACAAGCTGGTATTCCCCACTGCCTGGCTAAGGCATAGTTTTTATAGCTCCTCGGTCTTGCTGAATAGCACCTGGCAGAGTCTCTTTGAACAAACAGGGGGACCTGCCTTGTGCTGGCTCATAGAGAATTATAAGATCGACAGCCCTCTTGCCTGCAGCATGAATACTCAGCCCATCACTTTTTATAGACACAGCAGGACAGTAGTGCAGTGCAACAGGGGCATTTTGGTAGGTGCTAGGTGGTAATATTAATGCTTGAGAGGCAGCCCATGTTGACCTCGGGTATAGGTTTTCTTTTGTAACAAGCAAACCATGATGGTACATGAGATACTGAAGCTTGGTAAATCTAAGGTTAATTGAATGTACAGATTGTAACTTATGTGGACAGCTCTATAGTACTTAATGTCTAAACAAAATGTTTCTCTTTACAAATGAGGTCTGATCCATGATTTCCATGCATGTGAATTAGTACAGTGCACTATAAACTAGGGATGCACTGAAATTTCAAACACCGAAACATATTGGCCCAAAAGGGCACTTTTGGCAGAATGCCAAAAGTGCCCTCTTTCGGCCGAAATAGCAGTGCATCTGTTCTTTCTCTCCTCCCCACTGGGTGCTGCTCTGTGTCCCCATTGCAGACAGCTGTCACAGGAGGTCGGCGGTGTGGGGGAGGAGTCAGCTGTCAGAGGAGATTGAGCTCTCCTCCCTGCACTGCTCGCTCAGCCTCCTGTGACAGTGAGTCAGGATGGAGAGTGGGTACACGCACTCAGTGATCGCTGAGTGTTTGTAAATTATTGAGGACAGAGTATGTTTACTATATCCTCAATTATGTATGAATAGGAAGTTCTCTGCATCACTTCCTGTTCATTCATGATTGTGGATATAGTAAAGATACTATCTCCACATGTTATAAGTGAACAGAACACTCAGTATAGAGGATTCCTATTCATTTATAACAGGGGAGCAGAAAAAGAGATTGAGGACTCTGTGTCCTCAATCTCTTTTTCTATTATAAAAGGCAAATATCAGAGGTCTGTTTAGACCCCTAATATTTTGTTAAAGCCCCCAACAGTAGAGTAAAACAAAAATACTAATATTTAATAAAAATGAATAAATGAAAATATATTTAGAAAAATATGATAAAGGTTAGAGAAAATTTTTTTTTGGGGTTCAGCCTTTCGGTTTCGTTTCGGTGCACCTCTACTATAAACAGTTATAATCCATGCAATTAGCAGCACATATAAGAGGCAAATGTGCATTGATTTGCCTGGTTTGTAATACATAAACTCCAATGGAACTATAATAATGTGTACAGTATATACAGTACATGTTTTTTTCTGCATGACCTGAAATAACTCGGGGACATGTGCGAGTGCCACTTCATGCCTATAGTAACACCCTCCGCTTGTCCCTGAACAATGTAGTGCATATTGGGTGTGTGAATTCAGCCTCCTGGTCAGTAGGTGATAGGGCAGTTGCCATCTCCACATTCCTACAATGCTCATTAATTGTAGCGTTTACACAAAGGTATCATTAACTCCAACTTGTAACAATTCAAAACAGGTATTTAAAATAGTTTTATGTTTTTGGCAACATTATTAGGAAGTGGAATTATATCGTGCATGACATTTAAAAAAACACTTCCATGTATTCAGTTATCTCAAAATGTCTGTAGCCCTTCTACCACAAATCTTCAGCACCACAATATATAACATCTCACTTTACAGAGGACCGCTCCTCTCCAGATTGTATGAATGTGAGCACTGGAAGTAGATGTCCAGCTCCAGACACTCATACCTCAGGCCAACATGATGGTTCAGAGAAAGCAGATACAAATATTATCATGTTTTATCTTTGTTACCAAAAGCAGGTATAATATTGTTATTCCGTTTAGTAGTAATATTATCTTTGTTTCTGAAAGCAGCCTCATTACTGAATTACTCCTACAACATATATCATTTACATAAACTTGTATGTGATAGCAAGTTTGGCTTTTATTTATGTATATTTTTGAAGCAAAACTGAGCCGCCTGTATCCGCCGGGGAACTTGCCATAATGTACATGTTGCGCATTATGTCAACTTACCTATTAGTTTGCCCCCCTCTGGCTATGAAAGGTCTGTGGCAGTGTTCCATTGCTGCTGCCATGTTTTCTGCCATTTTTACGGAGCAGAGTTTTCTTTCTTCTGTCATTGAGTGGTCACCGATGTAACTCCTTGCATGCCTTCTGGATTTACATTGTCCTGATGTGGATTGTTGGTGTGAATCCACCCTTAATAGATAGATAGTTTTATTTATTTGTCACATACATAATCGTACAAGTATGATATGCAGTGAAATGCTTACACGACTGCAATCAGGAGAGGGAGAAGTACAAGTAGAGAGAAGAATCAATAATAATATAAAACTTTTACATCACAAAATAAAATATAAATGTTCAAATTTAAATATTAAAAATGAAATTAGACTAAAAATGCAAATACAGTATGAAGTGTAAAGTGTGCGAGTGCTAACAGCAGCAATATGGAGTGAATGAATTAAGGTGATGACCAGCAGTGTATTGACCTTTCTTTGACCATTCTTTTTAAAGTGCAGATGTGCAGTAAATGTGAGTGTAAGAACATTTACCTAATCAGGCAGTAGAATGTATGTCTATATAGAGATCTGATTGAGAGACCGTATAGCCTGAGGGAAGAAGCTTCTCCTCAGTCTCCCTGCGTTGGCCTTCAGGGAGCGAAAACGCTTCCCAGACCTCAACAAAGAGAGAAGTCCATTATTGGGATGGCTGGGGTCCCTCACGATCTTCCTGGCCTTGGTCCAGCACCGCTTGCTGTAGATCGAATTCAGGTCAGGGAGTTTAGTTCGGATGATTCTCTCAGCTGATCGCACCACCCTCTGAAGAGCTCGTCTGTCCTGCACGCTGCTGTTCCCAACAGCAGCGTGTTCTTTTTAACGCTGCTGTTCCCAACAGCAGCGTGTCCTTCTTAAAAGGTGCCATGAGTGAAAGAAGATTGAGAAACATTATGTGTCTGTATGTTAACCAGGGAATAAGTAAGGGACCATTCACCATGTTATTGAAAACATGTATATAAAAACACGCGTATCTTTACGCTTTGAAAATGGAAATAAAATGCATTTATTTTTACATGCAGTATTGTTATCAGGCCTTTATTCTAAACTGTTTTTTGCACTTGCCTTATCAGTCAGGTTTATCTATGGGAAATGCAGTATATTAGATTCATATTTATATCCTCACTACATAATGAAATCTTTTCTTCCTTTCTTTTCATTTTTCACAGATTCGCTTCTATGAAGTGGTCCAACCATTGAAGAATAAAGTAAATGACCTTCATGTAAGGAAAGAAAAACAGTCTGAAGAACTAAATGGCTATAAAGAGCAGCTCAAGAATGCAATGCAGGTGTGTTCTATAAAACCGGTTGGTGTAATACATTTACTTTGCATTACTGAAATCAATTTTATAGGGATGCAGTAGTATGCTAGCTTACTGTAAAACACTTTTATGGTTTTCATACTATACACAATGGGGGATTAATCAAAACCGGAGCAGACAGAATCTGGAGCAGTTGCCCGTAGTAACCAATCGGCTTCTCTCTTCAGTTTGTTCAGTTAAGCTTTGAAAATGAAAAAGAGAAGTTGTTTGGATGCCATGGACAACTGCTCCAGATTCTGCCTGCTCGAGTTTTGATAAATTCCCCTCAATGAGTCTCATTTCTAGTTGCTCTCTGTATGCCAGACAGTGCAAGAGACATCCCCGATAAATCATTGCTGAAATAAAATCAATTGCAGGAGTCTTAATTCAATCAGAGCAAACCATAGAAACCACTGAACCAAGACGAGCAATAAGGCCCACTCACTTTATTATGCTACTCAACAGGAATCACAGTATGCAAGAATTAAGCTTAGCCCTACGCCTTATACATATATAACTGCAGCTTTTACAGATAAACAATATTGGCAATGCAGATTAATGTTCATTATTTAGATTAACTTTCACATATACTTGTAAATTTGGGATTTAGAAGATTGATATAGCTTCTATAATTCTATCTTCTTTTTGAAATTTAGGAAAATGGTGATATTTCTGTATATGAGAGAGGGGAGCTGTGATTAGGAGCAAAGCTGCCCCCACAATCGTATATCAGTATTGGAATATATTTTAAGACGCCTCTGCAGTATTGGTATCTGTAATATTGTAACAGGCATGGTGTAGTTTAGGTTTATTGGTCCTTTAAGGTGATAAAACAAGTTGAAATATCTTTCTTCTTAAAGCATTGGCACATTGGCTCGTTGTCAAGGCTGAACTGTTTTGTTACTTTGATCTTGCTCTTTTTTTTGTGACAAAATGTTCTGTTTAAGTCTTGCTTTGTAGTGTTTAGCATTGCTAAGTAGTTCCTCTAGGTGTTGTTAGTCTGCTTCTGTTTTAGTAAACGTTCCGATTTATTTCTTTTGGTGGGTAATATTGACCTTTGACTTTGTCAATATTTTCCTTATGAACATGCAAACCATAACTCTAGCAGAGCATGTTTTTCAACTCTTGCAGATGTTTTGCAGAATGTGGGTGTCTTTTGTTATTAGTTAATATATTTAGCTTTTTTTATCCAAAGGTCTCATGTGACAGGTATTTAGGGTGTAATATTTTGTACGTGAGTCTTATGTGGTGACAGCTGCAAATCGCTAACATGCAAGGTGACTTTTCTATTCTTCATTTGTTTTATACTGAAACAGAAGAGGTCTTATTCATAAATAAATAATGATCATAAATACATACAAAATCGTGTAATCTAAAGCAAACCTGTGGTGCAAATATTTAAAGCCTCACAACTAGGGATACACAGATACCAAGTACTGTACTTAGTACAAGTACAGATATTTTTCCAGCTACTCGACTAGAGAAAAACTCAAAAGTTAGGAGGCAGCTGTAATTTTTAAGTAGCATTGGCTGTGGGGCTCCTGGGATTTGTGAATGAGATCCTAATAGGTTGGACTTGATGGACTAATGTCTTTATTCAACCTCAAATACTATGTAACTATGTAACTTTTAGCAGTATTATAACAAAGTGGAAGCAACTGGGAACAACAGTAACTCAGCCACGAAAAATCACAGAGCGGAGTCTGCGCATGCTGAAGTGCGCAGAAGTCGCCAACGGTCTGCAGAGTCAATATCTACAGACCTCCAAACTTTGTGTGGCCTTCAGATTGGCACAACAACAGTGCGTAGATGGCTTCATGGAATGGGTTTCCATGGCCGAGCAGCTGCATCCAAGTCTTATATCACCAAGTGCAATGCAAAGCGTCGAATGCAGTGATGTAAAGCACGCCGCCACTGGACTCTAGATAAGTGGAGACATGTTCTCTGGAGTGATGAATCGCGCTTCTCTGTCTGGCAATCCGATGGATGTGTCTGGGTTTGGCAGTTGCCAGGAGAACGGTACTTACGTGACTGCATTGTGCCAAGTGTAAAGTTTGGTGGAGGGGGGATTATGGTGTGGGGTTGTTTTTCAGGGGTTGGGCTTGGCCCTTTAGTTCCTGTGAAGAGAACTCTTAAGGCATCAGCATAGCAAGACATTTTGGACAATTTCATGCTCCCAACTTTGTGGGTACAGTTTGGGGATGGCGCCTTCCTGTTCCAACATGACTGTGCACCAGTGCACAAAGCAAGTTCCATAAAGACATGGGTGAGCGAGTTTGGGGTGGAGGAACTTGACTGGCCTGCACAAAGTCCTGACCTCAACCCGATAGAACACCTTTGGGATGAATTAGAGTGGAGACTGTGAGCCAGGGTTTCTCGTCCAACATCAGTACCTGACCTCACAAATGCGCTTCTGGAAGAATGGTCAAACATTCCCATAGATACACTCCTACACCTTGTGGACGCCTTCCCAGAAGAGTTGAAGCTGTTATAGCTGCACAGGGTGGGCCAACTCAATATTGAACCCTACGGACTAAGACTGGGATGCCATTAAAGTTCATGTGCGTGTAAAGGCAGGAGTCCCAATACCAGAACTTCCGGTCAGGGGGAGATTGCCTCTGACCAGCAAGCTGGGTGCCGGGTAATGACTCGCCACCCAGCTTCCTGATTGACCGGGAAGCCGGCTCCATGCAGATTGGCTGGTAAAGTCGGCTTCCCAGTTAATCAGCATGGAGCCGGCCAATTAGGAAGCCGGGTGGCAAGTAATTACCTTGCCGGCTCCATGCAGATTGGCTGGTAAAGTCGGCTTCCCAGTTAATCAGCATGGAGCCGGCCAATTAGGAAGCCGGGTGGCAAGTCATTACCCGCCACTCAGCTTTCTGATTGGCCGGCTTCCCGGTTAATCAGCATCGAGGCGGCCACAGAGCTTGGAGCCGGCTTCCCGGCCAATGACCCGCCTCCCAGCTTCCTGATTGACCGAGAATCCGTCTCTATGCTGATTGGCCGGGAGGAAGTTTTGGCACTGGTATCTGAACTGGTATTTGTGCATCCCTACTTACTACAAATGCCAGGTGCATCGAGTTTCCTGCTTGTAACAATTGGTTCTCTACACAGATCCCTTGCACCTCTGAAACCTGCCGTGAAGTACCAATCGGCTTCCTGGTGCTTCATTGTTGCCCCACCATCTCCTGCCTCATGCATCCTACTGCTGGCCTATCACTGTGGTTGTGACCGCCACCAACCAGTAGTGAGGTATTAGGTGTAGGGCCAGTGCCAGCATCCAGGAAGTTTGTGGGTACTTGCTTCACAATATTCAGGGATGTAGGAACCAAATGCTTGCTTATTATAGTTGATAAGACTTTAAAAAAATATTTTGACCACAAATTTATTTTAAACTTCTAACCTATAAGTAGATTTCTTTAAAAAGAAAAAAAAAACTAAACCTATGCAGTAAGATAATAGGGATGCTACCTCCTTTGGCTTGTTTTAAAGTGTAGATTAAGTGAAAATTGCATGGCACTAAAAATATACAGTACATAACATATACCAATATAACAAAATATATAACAGATTAACGTATACCAATCCTCAGTGATTTACCCAAACAGTTCTATACATTTTAACATAAAAATGTATATTCCTAATATAAATATTTTAATAATCACTAGTGACAAAATTAGTCAACAGTGAAGAAAACTTCTACTCCCAATCTTATCCAAAAATGTTCAAACATATTAAGCTCATAAATTCTTCACAAATGCTTCAAATTCAGTGCTCTATCATTGTGTTCACCCAATGAGTACTCTTTCCAAATTAGGTAAACTCGCCTAATATGGTGGACCATAGATTTAAATGGTCACATTTTAAAGTGGTACTAAAGTCTGGACATTTGTTTTACCTTAATGCATTCTCTGCATTAAGGTAATAAAACGCCCAACACCTTTCCAAGTTGCCCTGTTCTCCTCACACCTCCATTCGCTTGTCACCTCCTGCTGTCAGCCAATCTGTTGGGAGGAGATGAGGGGGTGGCTTGCCACACGCTGTGTCGGTCTATGGACACACACAGCTAGGTGGGGGCACAGCTGGCAGTGAGCACGCACTGGTGTCTCCTCAGCAGCCATCTAGCTGAAGGACACGCCTGCAAAGGGGGTAGAAAGAGAGAGCAGTTTGGGGAGGGACAAGCTGGAGCACAAGGAATAAAAGTTTAAAGTAGAAGAACACCAGACTCAGGTAAGTGTAGTCCTCCATGTTATATAACGAAAAAAAACTATGAAGGCGTAATATTACTTGTATGCGTGTGTATGTCAGGCAAAACAAAGAAAAAACACATATCTCTGAAATACATGCACATTTCCCCATGTGTTAACCCTTTGAAGACCCTGTATGTACAGGAAAACATTTGTTGATCTGCCAGAAATACACTCAACTCCTAAGTAGGGGCGGACGGGCAAGATTATGGGGCTCCCTTGTGCCCCTCCCATATTGTGACCGCACTATAAGAGGTGCCTTGGCGCGGCTGTGCGGCTTTCACATTTTCTGCAGAAGACGTGTATCCAAACCTCTGTTATTAACCTTAGTGGTGAGACAAGTTGTTTTACATGCTGACTTGTAAGTGTGCCATGATACCTTTCTACTGTTTCACTGTTCAAAGCCCATTTCGTGTGCACCTTACTGTATAGCTGGTGACAAATTGTTGAGTGCGTTTGTCATTTGTTTTGCTCCTCCCATATACAAGCCCCACCCCCAAGCCCCGCCTGCATACACGAGCAGTGGCCATATCGGCCGCCAGCATGTTCTGCGCATGCGCACCTCCATTTAGGAGTAGATCTTGGTATACACCAAGATGGCAGCGCCCACTTGTTCAGGTTCCGCCATCTTGGTGCAAATGCATTATACTATAATGTATTATTGCTGGGATTTGTTGTATTCCTCTATACCTGGTGGTATTCTGTGTCCATTGCGCTGCTGTATAAAGTATGTGCTGGGATTTGTTGGATTCCTCTATCGCTGGTGGTATTCTGCGTGCATTGCGCTGCTGGATAATGTATGTGCTGGGATTTGTTGTATTCCTCTATAGCTGGTGGTATTCTGCGTGCATTGCGCTGCTGGATAATGTATGTGCTGGGATTTGTTGTATTCCTCTATAGCTGGTGGTAAATAATTGCGCTGTGTAATGAATATGTATTGAATATACAGCGCAATGCAGACAATAACACCAGCTATAGAGGAATACAACACATCCTTGCAATACATTATACATACAGTGTATAATGTATTATTGCTGGGATTTGTAGTTCTTTATAGCTGATTGTAAACATACAGCACAATGAACCATCAGCTATAGAGGAATACAACCAATAACTATCCCAGCAATGCTACTCGCGGCGGCCATCTTTAAAACTTTAATGTGAAGTGGAGACCCCCTGTGGACACCAGAGGCCCACACGGAGCACCCCAGGGGAGAATCTGGAGTGTGCGGGCCTCGGGAACTGGCACACAGGCTCCCCATCACTGGACTAAGAGATGCATCTGTGTTAAAGCGGTGACGCCGTCGCCGCTTTAACACAGCCGTGTCTCCTCAATGTGGGCTGGAAAGGGCACTTGGGGGGGGTCGGTGGCAGGCCCCCTTACTGGCTACGGGCCCCTGTATGGTCAGTCCACCCTGCTCCTAAGTCATGTTGGTTGACAACAGTGTTTGACTGTGTAGTATCAGCCATAATCAGTTGTCTTTTGCTAAACTACCCAAACCTTCCTGCTCTTCTCACTCCTACAACATAGACACTAATTATTCTGTAGTCCAAGAAAAGAAATAGGGCTTCCTGCTTGAGAAAGCACTAGAAGTATGCACAACCATACAACAGGACCGCTCTGAATTTCTGACATGATAAACAGGTAATTCTTTGCACTTATTGAGCTAATATTTAACAAACCACAAGGTGTCAAATAGGAAAAGTTCATTGTTTTGGGTTTACATATAAGTAAACCCTTTTTAAACATCGGTGCAACCCTTTTTCATGTGTTGTTGATCTATTTGATGTCTTTCTTGTCTCATGTTAAATACTGTATCTCTCCAAGGTTCTTCATGTGAGTTGTTGTTCATTGTGTTCTCCTGTAAATATAATAAAGAAGACCTCTATTATCAGTAAAAGAGGGTCAGGGAAAATTTGGTTTTGTAAACGCTGCTCAACTGCATGTTACTGATCTGCTGGCTTAATAGTCTAATGTAATCTACATCCGGTACCTACAGCATCTCTCCTTCTTCGGGCAGGATTTGCCAACAAATACTAAAGGAGAAGCACAGAAGCTGACTGTAAGCCTTGATAGTGTGGATTACACTGGGACTGGGACTTTCAGCCAGATCATGATGTAGTTATTTAGTATTTTTAACACCTGCTTTACCTTCCACTAATCCTCCGTTGTTTTCTGAATTGGACATCTTCTTCAGAGGGCAAAAGACAGTCACTAAATACAACATAGAATTCTTGTTTCCAATCTTTGGAATGTTTAATGAGCAGTGGTTACTTTCACACAGAACTATGAAGAGGAGAGGAGAAGCCGTTCAGATCTGGATACGAGATGTCAGCGGCTGACATTGCAGCTTGCTGACACTAAACAGCTGATTCACCAGGGGGACTACAAGATAGAAAACTATGACGAAGTGAAAAGGTAACAATCATTGGTTTCATTAATGTTGCATATAAATGACTCTAATTTCTTACCTGGCTAATCACTCATTTTTTTTTCTTTTGTCTTTATATGTTGTATACTTATCCCTACAGGGGGAGGCAGATCACCAGGGGGGTTGTTTGCTTGAGAGTTACTATTAACTCTCAAGCAACCAGAAACTACAATTATCCAGCACCCTCTGATCGCTGTGGGTGTTGGATAACTAGGAGTTTACTGTAGTAAGGATATCGTTGTCTTAAAGCTCTTACAGGTCTGTTACTCAGGAGAGTTCAGGTCATTTCCTTAGCCTTTTTTGTGTCACTGTTAAAGCCAAAGCTTTTTTTATTTATTTTTTGTTTTGGATAGAGTAGAGAAGGGTTAAAACCCTTGTCAGTGTATTTTTCGGTGACCATGTCCCAGTGACAACTGTAAAATTTTGGATTTCCCTTCAGTTTTTGCATTGGTGACAATGGTCACCAATGCAAATAGAGAGGGTCAATTTCCCTAGCTAAAACACAGACATTAAAAACTAACAGAGGTTTTACCCCGCACCACTCTCTCCAACCCCCAAAAATGTTTTGCCTTTAGATGCACTAAAAAGTCCTAAAACACAATGATGTATGTGCAAAAAATAAAATGTACACTGTAAATGTCAATTAATGTTTGTTTTAAGAGTTATTTATATGTGGATATTCTTTTATTTACATTTTATCTACTTTTTTCACTTTTTAAAAGTGAGAGAGATGCTCTTGAACGTGAACTCTTGGAGCTCAGGAGAAAATATGAATTGTTAGATGCGTCACATAAAAGCCAGTCAAAGGAGAGAAATGACTTGTCTCAGGAGGTAAGTTACAAGGATAGACTCAGAATTACTGTATAGCACATGCCAGCCATATTAGGAAAATGACCTGTGTTCTGTTTCAAATAACGATGAATGCAATGAAATACCCCCTCAGACCCAGTCTGAGCAGACAGTATTGCTACTTGCTGTTTTGGGAGAATACATTGGCTATTAAAACTAAAATAAATACGTATTTCTTGATTTGAAGTTCTATGAGTTCTATCCCACTCCTAAGAACCATATTAATCTAGAAGTTTGTAAACTTACTTATTGAAGTTGCCCATAGGATGTACAGTAGTTCCTCAATGCCCTGACACAATTTCACTCAGCCCTGTAAATATGCACTTCTTTGTGTCAAAGCTCTCAAAGAACAGTGTCCATATGTCTTGCAGCACTCCTTACCGAGTATCTCAAAGTTGACGGGTCTCTTAATAACTGCGGATGTCAAATAGTAGAACTTGAATCAAGATGTCACCAGCACGAGAATCCCAGATTAGTGCAAATCCATTTATTGAGCTCTCTGAGCCTGATGAAGGGGACCCTGCGTGGCCCAGAAAGCGCTTATCATTTGAGTGACACTTATCAATAAATGGATTTGCTAATCTGGAATTCTCGTGCTGGTGACATCTTGATTAAAGCTCTCAAAGAGCCTGCCTTCTGAACTACAACTCAGAATCTGAACAATGCAACATTATCACTGCTTGCTGGAATCAATGCATTGTGGGATGTGTAGTCTTGAAAGATTGAGATTGCATAACATCAAAATCCAGGGGAAAAAATGTAATGGGCGGACAGAAGGCGGCACTTACTACATAAAAGGGATTTTTTTCAAGTAAGCTTTGATTGCATTATCAAAAAACAACTCTAGTATGCATTCCTATTACAATGCTAATGTTATAACAAGAGAGTATATGCTGTGACTTTAGAACTCCTTTAACACTTCATAAGACACAGAAGTTGAATCCACTTACTTCATATATTCATATACAGAGGATATTTTTTCAGTCTTTTAAAGTGTAAGGAAACAATGACTTTCCTAAGCCCTTTCTCTTGTTGGAAAATGAAACTGAACAGCAGAGTAAGAGGTAGGGGGTGTCTGGCTAGGGATTGTACTAACTAGAGACAAAACAGGAGGGGGGGGGACAAAGGAACGTACCAAAGGCATAATAACAACAGCAATAGACAGGCTACTGTGCAAGCACCACTTGCATTGCAGCTATCTTTGTCATATATTTGTAGGTTTTATTTTTTTCAGGCTACTGTGTAACATTGGTATTTGAGACTGCAACAGGGACAGGAATCACAATCTTAATGCTTACAGAGCACTTTTACTCAGCTTTAAAATAGGAACTGTCCTGTAGCTACTGAATTGGTGGTCAAGGTTGGTTTTGTTGGGACCAAGAGCAGCAATTTTTGGGGGAACCCTGTTCATTATTACACAGGGGGTTAGAGGTCAATGGAGTACAAGAACAGTTTGACATTTGTTTAAATTATGCAAACAATATATGTAAAATGTTAATATGATTTAAAGGAAGTATGCTCAAGACCTCTATTGGAGGTCACCACATAATTATACCAACAACCGTAAAAATGATATCAGTATACCTTTCATGCTGGGTGTATAGAATACCTCATGTATAAATAGTAACATATAAACAATAATAAATGCCCTTTAGTATGCTGTATGGATGAAAATGTATTTCGGACTAGGCATCAAACATCTAAAAACCATGTCCCAAAAATGTATTTTTTACCCCAAGGGGTCTATTTTGATAATTCCGGGGTAAATGCAAGCTGATATTTTTGATTAGTAATTGAATTACATCAATGTGTGGTATTTAAAGAAGAACTTCAGGACACATTTTTTTATTAACCCTTGCAGTGGGCTACCCCTACACTGCAAGGGTTAACTGCTTGTTTTTGTCTAGGTTTAAAAAAAAAAAAAGTTATACTCACCTGAACCGTGGATCAAGTTCTATAACCACAACATTCCAGTGTGGCAACGTAGGAGAGATGCTGTAGTTAGTGCTGTGACAGCTTGCCGGCTCGGAGCTTCGGCTGACTATAAATGTGTTATTTTTGAACCTAGAGAAAAACAAGCACTCAACCCTTGCAGTGTGTGGGTAGCTCACTGCAAGGGGCAATAGAAAGTCTCCCTGGAGTTTGTTTTTAAAGGGAATATATAGGGGTTGATTTATAAAACTTTTGTCCAGCCATGCACTGGGCGAATGTCCAGCGATACACGGCATTCCTGCCGCTAGATTGAGCCGAGGAACAGCGTATGGCTAGGCGTCATTTAAGTAAATGTGAAATATTTTATGTAGCTATTTTATTCTTTATTATTTTTACAGTTGGTAGCTGCAATTCTAGGCCTTATTTTTTTCATGTTTACAGGTCTAATCCTAATTGCGTGACTGAATAAAAGCTATCCATGTACAGATTTCAATTGCTCGAGGTTCAGTTACACATATAGTTAAATCAGTCAGAGAAGTGATCCCTCTGCCTTTAAGTTCCACTTTCTTCCAGCTCTGTGCATCTTCATATGGGTTTTCCATTATAGAGAGTCTGCACTGTGCTATCTCTGTAGAAAAAAAGCATGAATTTAAATAAAGTTGACAAAAAGTATAAAATATTATACTTTTAATGGCCGGTCTGTACAGATCCGTGCTGCGTGCACGGCCGTATCGGGCCGCTCCCAGGAAGGACAGATGCTGCGTGTGATTTGTACGCAGCAGCCTGTCCTTCTCTATGGGAGTACGCAGCCTTATGCCACCCTACGCACACCAGGCCTGCACGTCCGTGCGGGTGTCTGTACTCGTACGCTGACAGGATGGATCATGTCTGCGTTCGAGCAGGGATGCTCGCACCTGTACGGACGTGCAGGTCGGGTGTGCGTAGGGCGTCGTACGGCCGCATACTCCCATAGAGAAGTACAGGCTGCTGCGTGTAATCACACGCAGCACCTGTCCTTCCCGGTAGCTGCCCGATACGGCCGTGCACGCAGCACGGATCTGTACAGGCCGGCCGTTACCCGTGTGAATGAGGGCTAAAAAAGAAGTAATGAGTAAATGATTGCCCAGTTCATGTATTAGATGCTGCTTGTTCCTGATTGGAGGTAGAAAACAACCAGAGTGCAGTTTTTGGTTTAAAGAAGTAAACGCATAACTGTTTTATCAATATTAATAAGAGGATCTCTAGTTCTGTCCCAGCGCTCACTGTAACGTGCTTGGCTATATTCTGTGCACCTCTGCATTTGTTAGGAAACCATACTATTTGATTCCAGGACACAGTCATTGTCTTACCACAGGGAATGCTTTGGTTGAGAAAATATTTGGGAAATAAATGAGATGCCAACAATAAGAAATACTTCCTTGTGTGGTTAGTGCTGCTTTAAACGCAGGCCACACTCCCAGATAAACTGAACGCTATGTGACTAATAACAACCTATGTTTAAAGTCTTAAGGAATATCAATCAAATCAATCTAGCAGTGTAGCGAAGCCTGTTTTTTGTGCCTTGTGCCACCACACTTTAGCAAAGCTTTACTTTCAGTATATTGGTCCTGTCATGTCATTCCTCACTGCTTATGATGACTCACTTTTAAAACTGTTGCCCTTAGTGTTCTTTTTCCAAAAATAGTTACATTTGTCATCATGTACTTTACAGCATCCATCACTTGGTACGGTACAGTAGCATCTAACAAGCTATTTGTTTCTTTGACATTTATGCATTTATATGCCTGTTATAAAGTTTCAGTCAAAGGGTTAAATATACATGAACAGCAACGTCCGTAATAAAAAAAAAAAAGTTCATCTGTCTTCATAAAGTGTCAGGGAATTATTTACAAGCCAAGTGACTTTGCTGTTTTCCCAACAAATGAATAAGTTCTAGCCCCATAGAAAATGCTCATATGCTTTGAGAGCATGGCTAATGTGTAAGATTTGCAGTCATTTTATTTTCTGTAAACCCTGAAAGGGTCAGTCCACCCAAAACTGATATTTTAGTTCTGAATGGGTAGATGTTAGTTAGATTTTTGTACTGCTTGTGGCTGCAAGATCTCTTCTCCGGGCCGAAGAAAACGTAACCCTTGCAGTGGGACTACCACCGCACTGCAAGGGTTAAGTGCTTGTTTTCGTCTGGGGTGTAAAATAAAATAACGAAGATGTACTCATCCTGTCTGGCTGCTAGACCGTTCCCTGCAGCCTTGCTCCCCCTCCACTCTGGTGTTATAAGAACCCATGAGTCATCATGTGCAATACAATGTATTGGACTTGAGGACACCAAGGGACATTCTACCGCTAGAATGAAGGGGCAGATCTAGCAGCTAGGCAGGACCGAGTTTCGGGTGAGTATATCTTTGTTATTCTACACCCTATGAAAACGAGCATTTAACCCTTGCAGTGCATGGGGTAGCCCCTTAGGTTTTCTTCTGACTGAAGTTCCTCTTTAAAGTTCTTAGAACTCCTACCTGGTATGACTTTTGCAAAGGCCTGTTATATTTAAAGGTGACCCCCCCCTACTATTTTAAACTGCCACTATTACCGTAAAAACATGCAAAATAAACCCATGTAATGATCTTCTTTACTTCCCACCTTTCTCTATATGTAACCACATCCTAGTGAGTCTCTTCTCCTCTAGACAAGGCCACCATCCTGACTCGAAGAAGTCATTGGTGGCCATGTTCTTCTCTGTTTTCCTTGCCCGCCCACTGATGACATAAGTGCAAGATCTGTATCCTAACTATTAATAAAATGTATCTTATTTGTGGCTCATCAAATCATCTCTGAATTGGTGCTCCCTCTGTCCTTCCTTCTGGAGGGTGGCTACTTTTTTTCCCCATGGTCCCTGTGTGTGTTGTTAAGTAGCCATCGCTCCAACCTCACTCCCATGATAGATTACAATCTTGTGTTTAGTTTACTAATTTGTAGTGGGATTGTAGTCCATCACAGGAGTGAGCTTGGAGCGGTGACCACTTTCCAACACACCCAGGGACCATGGGGAAGAA